CCGACGATTGCTCGATCATGGCGACTGGGAATGGAATTGATGACTTGTGTTCGAAAGTAAACGGGTATCTCTCCGAGCTTTCTCGCTTCTTCACTGCAAGGAGCCTAACCCTCTCCCCTACGAAATCCTCTGCGACCTTGTTCACCACCTGGACGAAGGAGGTCAGGCTACCACAGGGAATTCACGTCGATGATACACCAATTCCGGCGGTGAATAACACCAAAATAATCGGAGTAAGCTTCGACAGTCTGGTCTCTGCGCACGCAACCGCTATTGTCAACAAAGTGTAGAGCCGCAACAAGGTCCTCAAGTCGCCAGCCGGCAGTGCTTGGGGCAAAGACTAAGGAACGTTGCTGGCAACATACAAGGCAATATGCCGGCCGGTTTTAAATTACGCAGCACCAGTGTGGTCGCCGGGGACTAGTAGGACGCAGGGGATGAAGCTCTAGATTACGCAAAATACCGCACTCCGGATAGCGACTGGATGCCTTCTGATGTCGCCTGAACACCACCTACACGACGAGGTGAAATTGCTCCCGATCGAGGAGAACAATAAAATGCTCTGCAAGCAGTTCCTTGTTGGGAGCCATAGACGTGGTCACCCAAATGGGCAGCTGCTTACAGAAGAGCGCTCGCCCAGGTACGTCAGGAGGCATCTCTACGAACTGACGGACGAAGTCCAGAGGTTCATTAACCAACCTCTGGACCCGTCAGCTTATCGGCAGTCCCTGAACGGCATTCACAGGGTGTCAGTCTCGAGTTATGTAGACTCCAGACCTGCGAATGCCGTTCTAGGCGCACAACCACCGGACATTGACGAGGCGGAGCTTCATCTACCTCGGAAGACTAGAACCACAATAGCCAAACTTCGCTGTCTACTGCAGCAGGTTAAACTCATACCTGAGAAGACTAAACGCAGATATACCAAATGAGTGTCGGGCATGCGGAGATACACCCTATGACTCGAAACATCTCTTCGTATTCCCGGAAAACCCGACAACCCTAACGCCTTAGTCCCCATGTGGACCGACCCTATCCAGGCTGCACGCTTTTTAGGGCTGCCGTTAGTGGAACTTGACGACAACGACTGAGATATTAACCAATCTGGGCGGGGTTGTTGTATCCGCTACAACAACAACACAACGTTGACGGATGAGCCGACTCGAGCGGGGTTTGGTAGCCGCTACTACAACTGCAGGAAGGATGACTACTTAGAGTTTGGACTGTGCCACACCACCTCCCCCTCCGCTCCCACCTACAAAAGCATTCTACAAATATCCGATGATTTCCCAGCAATTTCAGTAAAAATATATATTTTCCTGCCGTTTAGTCGAAAGATGCCAAAACCGGTGGAAATCTCTGCGTGACCGATATGTTAGAGAAATTAAAACCGATGCTAGCAGTGATTGGAGGCATATGGAAGATTTGAACTTTTTACAGGATTGCATGTATGTTTTTATTGAATGTATTGTAGTTTTATATATATTTTAAGTTAATTTCATTTCAATAGAACAATCAGGAAAAATTATTCATCTAACTCTTCAGCAAAATCTCGTGACACAACGAGAACTCTAAAAGAAGAGTCACAGGATGAAAACTTTTATAATAACGACAGTTTTGCATCCGAGGAAGAACCATGTAATTCATCACTAAAGAGACCTTGCGATGATGACATAGATTATATGTTTGAAGAACAAGATGTAACTGAGAGTCCAACCGCAGCGAAAACATTTTTAGTTGAAGCTTTGATAGAACCGCCAATAAATGAGCCACTAATTAGTCAGTCATATCGAAGAGCAGAACGTTCAAAACCAAGTGCTCATGCCCCGAACGCACAGGCGAAATTCGATTCTTTGGTTGGAACTTTAAATGAATACATTAAAGGGCGTATAAAGGAAAGGGAGAAAACCAACAACAGTGATTTCTTCGGGTTACTGGATACATATCTTGCAAAATTGCCAGGAACGGAGCAAGATAAACTAAAAGCTGATATTTTAATTATGGTTCTAAATAAAACAAAAGAGTGTTAAATGTTATTTTCTTCTCAGACAAATAAATCTACTGATGAAATTCATGGAATTCATTTACATTATATTGGAAATAATTCTAACTCATAGGATTTAAATATGTGCAATTTTCTATTAAATTTAAAAACGTAATAATACCTACTGTATTATATGCGCATTGGTAAATACATTAGCCGCTAATAAATGTAAGCAAATACGTAGAGTTTTTTATTTATTTTTTTTTTTAGCATCAGAGCTGTGCCAACCCACTGAAATTCGGTAAGCGTATTGGTGCATTCAGAATAAATTGTAATAGCAATGGAAGAAATTGTAAAAGAAAATAGGGCATAAGTAAAGAATACCCACCGTTTCGATAGAGAAAAACGAGGAATGGGGTCTAATATTGCGGGAATAAAAGTTGTGGAAGATATTTAGGGTAAAAGATGAAATTTTGGATTTCGAAAACTGTTAATATCTTCGAATCCAATTAACTGTTTGAAAAATTAAGCACCGCGTAACATATTTCGTTTGGTATACATATTTTGTGAATTTGTGTATGATATTTGTGGAAAAAAGAGACAATAAAAATATACGCAAAAAAAATTTGTGTTTATGGATTTTTTCCCAAAAAAATTTATTTGATTTTTCTTTTGTGTGATGTATCATATGACTACTTTATCTTTGCCTTTTACTATATATTTTGCTTTTTACGTTACCTCGACTGACCAATTCCGGCGATTTTGTTACATCATTACTTTATAATTTATTTTAACAAATTTGCGGTCATTTGTGTGGAAAGGTGTCCCCTACAAAAGGTGTTCAGCCCTTCTTCTTCGGCAACACAGAAAGGAGAATTCTACTTAGTGAGGGTTATAATTCCTAAACGCGGCCGTAGGCCGCCTACGCAGAAAGGTGTTCCCTAAAAACGATGTTCAGCCCTTCTTCTTCGGCAACAGAGAAAGGAAAATTCTACTTAGTGAGGGTTATAATCCCTAAGCGCGGCCGAAGGCCGCCTACGTAAAAATTTGTTCTCTGCAAAAGGCGTTGAGACCCTCTTCTTCGGCAATACAGAAAAGAGAATTCTACTTAGTGAGGGGTATAATTCCTAAGCTCAGCCGCCTTCGCAAAATGGTTTTCAGCCCCTATTCTTCGGCAACACAGAAAGAAGAATTCTGCTTAGTGAGGGTTATAAATATAAATTTTCTTTACACCAAAAGTACTATAACAGTGCATTCATAAGGCTACTTTTGAAGAAAAATCATTTTGAAGGGAATTTTTTCATATATTTTTTATAAAAACCAATTTTTATCAGAAATTTTAAACGTAAGGTACAAGGCATGCACACCAAAAGAAAGGTGTATTAATTTTCCTTGAAACTGCATATTAACTTTTACAAACGCTTCACTCGTTTTTGAAATATTTCGGTTTTTCAAAAATCAAATTTTGATCTTTGACCTTCGGTATCACGCTTAGGTTTAATTTCCGCAAGTAAATTTAAGTATCGTTATAATCAGCACAAAAAGCTCTATCGGCCCCTATTTTTAGTTTTTTTTTTCTAGCGAAACGGGTATTCTTTACTTGTTCCGAAAATAGCAAATGCCAAAAACAGGTAATCCCAGCTGGAGGCATTTTTTGGCAAACATCTGATAGTGCTTTTACTTATGGAACTGTACGATGATTTCAAAATCTGGGCCCGAATCGCGGCAATCGTGATCGAGTGATTACTCGTTTCGAATCGATCAAACAAAATGGCGACTGTTTTCTCCACAATACAATTTAAATGAGCGAATCATGCACTATCGAATGCCGCGATCTCAAAATGAAATTTCCTTTCGAGTTACGTTCGAATCATCACGAAATAATGGAACGGGCATATGTGTCTGTTGCAAAAATAGGTTGTTGTTGTTGTTGTAGCAGCAGTACCTCATCCTCCCGGGGTCTCGTCATGGGCCGTATTTGTCCTCGGACTCTACAAGCCTGAGGCCAGGAAAGCGGGCGGCGTCGATAGGCATTGTTGTTGTAACAGTATACAAATTCTACAAGAGTCTTTTGGGGAGTGTTGCTGGAGTGACGGTCCTTGGCCAGATATAAATCTGGGTCTTTCCTATTACGTAGACCCAGCTGTCGTGGAAAACTTTGCAGGTTGCAGTCCAAACTATTACTGACTATTTGTTATTATACACACCCAATAATTTAGCAAATCGTAGTTATCGAAATTATCGAATTAATGTCATCTATTCTCAATGGCATGTCAATACGCCATATTTTCTTGCCATTTATTACCATCGCCCAATTGTGTTTATTTTGTGCAGACAAATATTCAAAAGTTGATTGCATCTATGCAGATTTTTACGACGCGTTTGATAAGGTATCATATTCAATTTTGTTTCATAAAATAAGAAACTTTGGTACTCATTCAGTTTTCTTAAATTGGTTAGTTATGTATATACATATGTGTTCCATATTTCATGTTCATGTTGAAATTGAAAACTGCAGGTCTGCTCCGTTTGTTGCTACTTCTGGGGTGCCTCAAGGCAGTGTCCGTGGACCGCTTTTGGGTGGACTTTAGTATTCAGCCGCAGCTTGTGTTTTAAGAAAACCAGGTGGAATTAACATTTGAAACTTGGTCAGGATGTTAAGGGAGGTATCCTCTAAAACATGTATAACTAAGGTTCGAAAACTGACAGTTGTCTCTCTCGCACCGCTCCCTTAGCAGTGGCAGAGTGTTGTTTCTTTGCAAATTTACTTGGAAAAAGTGTAGCTTTGCTGTGAAATAGAAGTATAAGCTTTTGTGCAATATGTTTATTTGTATATGCATATGAAGCACATTTAACTGATGAAAACCCAAATTGTTTTTAAATTGGATGTTTACATAAATCTCATAGTAGTTTTATTTTAATTTTGAGTCCTTTTGCATTTTTTATACAGCTAAATAGCACATAAACTACGTAATTCACGTAGATGTATTAATATTTCGTTCAATATTTCGTGTAAACTGCCAGATTTCCTGCAAATACATTAGAATTTGCAAAATGAATTTCACTACTAATTGCCTACTTTGCGTACTTTTCTACTACCATTTTCGCAACAAGGGATTGCATTCTTCCCCTTTCTCTGTCCTTCATAAATGCAACCTTTTGTAAGGGAGTGTCAAACCGCGGCTGTCAATAATTATCTAACCTTGTATTATTGAATCATGGGGTGCTGCCATATATGTAATACTTCTATATTGCTAGTACAATATGAACGCAATGAGTTTTCCATTCGAAATCNAATGGGTGTGCTCCATGATCCAACTACACAAGATCTGACATGATGAAGCAAAAGAAAAAAGTAATTTTCTGGCTGACGTTTGTAATTTCGGCGCCATGTTATTTTCTGTGAAAAGTAAACAAAGAATATGAAGAGGAAGCATAAAGAAAAAAATGCAAGCAATAGGTTTGTATAGTAACCAATAGTCAGTACTAATTTGTACTGGAACCTGCAAATTTTTACTGGAAAAGTGTATAACCCAAAAAATTTGCAAGAGAGCACTGAAGGGAGAGCTGCAAATTCTTGCTAGTGAAATTTTTACTAGCAGAAATTAGCTAGCAGAAGAAGNATAATGGGTCTGCTCCATGATCCAACTACACAAGATCTGACATGATGAAGCAAAAGAAAAAAGTAATTTTCTGGCTGACGTTTGTAATTTCGGCGCCATGTTATTTTCTGTGAAAAGTAAACAAAGAATATGAAGAGGAAGCATAAAGAAAAAAATGCAAGCAATAGGTTTGTATAGTAACCAATAGTCAGTACTAATTTGTACTGGAACCTGCAAATTTTTACTGGAAAAGTGTATAACCCAAAAAATTTGCAAGAGAGCACTGAAGGGAGAGCTGCAAATTCTTGCTAGTGAAATTTTTACTAGCAGAAATTAGCTAGCAGAAGAAGAAGAAGAATAAATGTCAAAAGCCGCCATTTGTTGAATTGTTTTAGCACAAACAAAAGTAAAATGAGTGGAAATCAAAATATTAATGATGTACTAGACTGTGTAAGTGCTTGTGTGTAAAGCAGAGGTCGAAAATAACCGTCAACACTTTGAAAGTGTCCCAAAACAGAACAGGTGGTTTATTTTTTGTAGATGTGCGCTCCTCTCAGTGGGAAAGGGTTATTTTGCATATAATTTCCGTTGCTGTTGGACACGGACACTTATCGCTGGAAGAAGAAAAATAAGTGTTAGAAGTGCGTAGAAACATATCAAATTTGCTGTTGATAGAGAGATATAAGCAACGTCAACGTCACGGTGATGTTATTGATTTAAAATCCGCTATTAATTAAGAAATTATTATTATGATTTAGTTTGTGGACCAAATAAAAAATAAAATTTATTTGTGATTTGATTTTCCAACCAAATAAGAAATACAAATTTTTGATTTGATTTGTAGAGCAAATCAATTTGATTTGTAATTTTTCAGTTAAATAATACATACTTTTGTTATGCGACGCAAATAAGATATTTAAGTATCTTCCAACTTCCAGTTCCACGAAAATCTTCGGGATCCTTGGGACTAATTCGAGATTTTCGAGACTATTTCGGGATTTTTGGGCTATTTTGGGATTTTCGAGACTTCTTCAGGATTTTCGGAATCTTCGCGACTACTTCGGGATTTTTGGGCTATTTCGGGAATGTCGGGACTAATTCGGGATTTTCGAGACTACTTTGATATTTTCGGGATCCGCGGCACTAATTCGAAATTTTCGAGACTATTTCGGGATTTTTGGGCTATTTTGGGATTTTCGAGACTTCTTCAGGATTTTCGGAATCTTCGCGACTACTTCGGGATTTTTGGGCTATTTCGGGAATGTCGGGACTAATTCGGGATTTTCGAGACTACTTTGATATTTTCGGGATCCGCGGCACTAATTCGAAATTTTCGAGACTTCTCAGGATTTTCGGAATCTTCGGGACTACTTCGAGATTCTTGGGCTATTTCGGGATTCTTGGACCTAATTCGGGATTTTCGGGACTACTTTGAGATTTTCGGGATCCGCGGCGCTAATTCGGAATTTTCGAGACTTCTTCAGGATTTTCGGAATCTTCGGAACTATTTCGGGATTTTTAGGCTATTTCGGGATTCTCGGGACTAATTCGGGATTTTCGTGACTACTTTGAGATTTTCGGGATCAGCGGCACTAATTCGGAATTTTCGAGACTTCTTCAGGATTTCGGAATCTTCGGGACTAATTCGGGAATTTTGGGACAAGTAGTAGTCCCGAGAGTACTGAAAATCCCGAAATAGTTCCCAAGTTGAGTCTCTGTGACTATATCATTTTCTTTATAATTACCTTTATTTTAATCTTTCCTCCTTTATTTTCATCTTTACTCGCCCTCATCTTTTCTTCATATTTATCTTTATCATCTTTATGTTTATCAATTTCTACATTACATATTCCCCTTCACCTTTGCCCTTATATTAGTAAAAATTTTAAATTTACCTTGGTCTTCATTTTTGCATTTATCTTTACGCATCTTTATTTTTGTTTTTATTTTTGCCTATGCCTTTATCCTTTTCTTTATCAATAAAATAAAATAGCTTATTTTCGGTGTATCATATTAAGAATGTGCACGCTCTCTTCTTTGTCATAAATGTTCGCACATGTATGTGTACGTATATGTCGTGTAAAGAAATGCCTAGCGCTTTGCTTCCACTTATTACGCCCACTTATATTTTTCAGTCCTACAATAACCCACANTTGCATTTATCTTTACGCATCTTTGTTTTTGTTTTTATTTTTGCCTATGCCTTTATCCTTTTCTTTATCAATAA